ACTTCTGGCAGGTCTCTGCTGATGTGCTATTCCTGCCGTTTTTCGATAATCTTGAGCAGAATCTTGCTTCCATGTGAAATCAACGATATTGTTCTACATTTTCCACACTCTGTTGGGTCACCTTTCTTTGGAATGGGAACAAATATAGATCTCTTCCAGTCAGTTGGCCAAGTGGTTGTTCTCCAGATTTCTTGACAGCAAATAATTAGTAAGCTATAATTTTTTTTAGAATGTTAACAGCAGTCAGTTTTCACTATAACAGCAAGTTTATTAGAGAGGGTAAAGTCAGGTTAGTTTTCTCAGAAAATAGCTCTGTCAGAGGAAGGATTATATGACTTTCTGTCACTAATATATCAATTAACTTGCTTTTAACTAATGAGTTCGGCGTCAGGCAGAAAGGAACTTTGAATGAACTTGATCTATCTGTAGGATACAGTTTAGAGGGATGGAAGGTCCCAGTTTACCTCAGAGATTCTTAAAAAACAAGTAGTTTTGAGCCTTAAGTTAAACTGTAAGTAAAAGTTAACTTCACTGACCCATATCAGCAGGAGTAAAGTCATAGATTTGATTTAGGGTCAGTCAGAAGGACATACTGGGTAAAGAAGAGATGGAAGAGTAACACAAAAACAGATGACTTTGCAATATAAGCCAGCACTGTTGTTTAGTGTTTAGACACAGCCAAGTCAATCTGAACTTACGGTGAGTGACACCCTGTGCAACAGAATAAAACCCCGCCAAATCCTGCACCATCTTCACAATCTGCTCTGCTTGCGTCCAATGTTGCAGTCACAGTATCAGTCTACCTCCTTGAGGACCTTCCTCTCTTTTGCTGACCTACTTTTCCAAACAAACAAACTTTTCCTTTTCTCTAAGGAGTGGTCCCTTCTCATGACATGCCAAAGTGTGTGAGGCAAATCTCACCATCCTTGCTTTTTTTTCTCCTTCTTTTATTCCTTTCTACTAGTTTATTTACAAAGCTAGAATACTAATTCAAACTCTTTTCATTTCCTTCACTCCCCACCCGCCAAATTCTATAACCCAATGATTAATCCCTCTTCCTCCTACACATCCACATCCCTCTGCTTCCAACCTCTCCCACCCCTCCTGGATCCTTATACTCATTCTATAGTAAATGCTTTATATAATATTTATCCTGTGGGACTGAGTTAGTTCACTCAGCATAATGCTCTCCAGTCCCTCCCAGGTTAGGTAATAATTTACAAAGTTATTGCTCCTGTGTGCTGCATAGTATTCCTTTGTGTGAATGCACCATAATGTCTCAATCCATTCATTTTTGACTGGACAGTTGGGCTGTTTCCATGTTCTTGTGATGGTGAATAGCACTGCTATGAATATTGTGTACAAATCTCAGTTTGTGCCTCAGCCCTTATTTTCTCAGGGTATATACCAAATAGTGGAATATGTCTTATGGAATTTCTATGTTCAGCTTTTTGAGGAAGTGTCAAACTGCCTTCGAGAATGATTGCACCATTTTACAATCCCACGAAATATATATAAGAGTTTCTTTCTCACCACATTCTCTCCAACATTTATTACTTGCTGCACTGTTAAACTCTGCCACTCTTGCTAGAATGAGATGGTACCTCATTGTGGTTTTGATTCGCTTCTCTCTTATTACCAGTGATTTGGAGCACTTCTTCATGTGTCTGCTTGCCATTTGAATATCTTCCTCTGTGAAAATTCTTTCCATGTCTTTTGTCCATCTTGTAATTGGGTTATCAGTTCTTTTGTTATGGAGGCCCAGGAGTATTCTGTAAACGTTTGTTACAAGACTCTTGTCTGAGATGGCATTACCAAATGTTTGTTCCCAGTCTGTAGGTTTTCTTTTCACCCTGCTGGGAAAAGTTTCTGATGCATGCATAGATTTAATCTTTAGAAGTTCCCATGCATCAATTTTATCCTCTTCATATTGTGCATTTTTGGCTGCATTTGGCAGTCTCTTTACACCTTGGATTAGTGCTTCTTTTTTATTTTTTATTTTTATTAGTGCTTCTAAGCTTGAACCCAGTTTGTCTCTTACGAATGTCATGGTTTTGGATTTTACTTTCAGGTCTTTGATACAATAAAAAAACCTAAAGAAAGGGGAAAAATGTGCCCTGTTCATGGATCGGTAGGCTCAATATGGTGGAAATGACAATCCTACCAAAAACAATCTACACGTTCAATGCAATCCCAATCCAGAAACCAAATTCATTTTTCAAAGAGATTGAAAGGGAATTATCAAATTTATTTGGAGAGACAAGAGAC